CTGCAGCGATCACACGGGGAGGGCAAGCGGACGGCGGGAGGTTCCATGCCCTTGCCTTCACGTGGGGCGACTTGATTCTGTTCTCTGACGCGGAAGTCGCTTTGGGTGCGTTCCCTGGGGGGGTGCGGGGGTCTGTTTATTATTTGAGTGCGTTTCTGGGAATACTTCATTTTCGTTTTTTATTGAAGTGTATCTACAGGTGTGTACGTAGTTTTGTATATACAGGTGTGTACGTATTTTTATATCTACAGGTGTGTACGTATTTTTAAGCACAGCATTTTATTTGGTGTCGTCGCGTACTGTGTGTGGTATTTTTGTATCTCTCTTTTTTGTGTGTTTATTTACTCCTGCATTTTGTACGTGTTCATGTTTACAAATTGGCAGAAACTTCTTAATGTCCGTCCGTGCGTGCAGTTTGCTTGCCCAACGCGGACGTATTTAGCAGCAGATATTGGAACAAAGCAGAGGGGGGGGGATTTGATTATGCCCCCGTGGAACAAGTTTCCTTCTATTTTTAGGGATTGTGATGTTCGCCGCGCGCCACTGTGCAGCCTGGCGACCTTGAGCATGACACTAGACATATCTTTTGAGTTGTTTCAGTATTGGTGACCCCCCCCCACTCCCCTCCTCCCCCTCCCCTCCCCTCCCCCTTCTCGAGGCATTTCCTCATTCCGCGTCGTCTCCTCTCCCTCGTCTCTCCCCCCACCCCCCAGTCCTCTCTTTTCTCCTTCCTTCTACTTCAACTCTCTCTCTCTCTCTCTCTCTCTCTCTCTCTCTCTCTCTCTCTCTCTCTCTCTCTCTCTCTCTCTCTCTCTCTCTCTCTCTCTCTCACTCTCACTCTCCCTTCCTTTCTCACTCTTCCTCCCTCCCTCCCTCCTAACTTTCTCCCTTTCTCCCTTTATCCCCCTACCTTTTCCCTCCCTTCCCCCCTCTCACCTCATCCGTTCCTTCGCCAGTCTGACTTTTGCTTCGTCTGGGGTCGGTCTTCGCTCGCAGTAGAGCCGACGATCAGGATTTTTTGGCTTTTAGTGTGTGTGTGTGTGTGTGTGTGTGTGTGTGTGTGTGTGTGTGTGTGTGTGTGTGTGTGTGTGTGTGTGTGTGTGTGTGTGTGTGTGTGTATCTGTGTCTGTGTGTGTGAGAGTGAGAGTGAGTGTGAGTGTGAGTGTATGTTTGCTTGCTTGCTTGTTTGTATGCTTGTTTGTTTGTTTGTGTTAGTCGCGCACACCTCCCCAACAAGCAAGTCTAGTTGTATGTGAGCAACCAGCTACACGGAACTTTTTGCTTGCTTCCCCCTAAATGGAGAAAGTCACGTGAGCTGCGACTCCTTAAAATAAGTGACCGTACCTCTCGCAGTACCATTTTCCGCTCTCTTC